GGGGGGGGGTTATGTGGATCATTCGAGTTTATCTAACAGTGCGAGAGGGGCAAGTAGAATACAGTGAGGTGAGTGTATTTCTATTTCAATTGATCGAGACAGTGAGATGGTAACTTAGAGTAAACATATTCGTCAAGATAGCTGTCATTTTGAATGTCTTTTAAAATTTTTTAGGTCTTTCCGAAACTTTTTCGTTTAGAAAATGAACGTCTCAATAACTATAGTCAATTTCGTGCTGTATATCATATTACAATTATTCAAATACGTTTATTTACTCCAACTGAACCTCCAGAGAGTGAAGTGGTTATTGAAGATGAAGATGACGACGATGAACAACAAATTCAATGAATTAGATCGAAGAAGAAGAGAATGAAACTGAAGATGAGAAGGAACAAAATGAACAAAAAAAAACTATCAACTATTAGTTGATAGTTTTTTTTTGTTGTAGATACTCTTCACTCTTTTTTTGTTAATAATTAAGCTCTAAAATGGCTACAAACGCTTCTGCTGGTAATCCCAAAATACAAACAAAGCAAAACATTCATAGTGAAAAGGAAAGTGAATGGATGGATATAAACGAAGAGTGGTCTGAAATAGACGCTAAAGATAAACAGGATACGAGCAGCAACGTTCATGACTGTCACATGTTTAGTAAAGGGGGAAACAAAGCTGTACAGCAAGCTTTTAATGACTTCAAAAAAAAAGTAACAGAACAAAATTTTACACAAATTATGCATAAGATTCAGATGCAAGTATTAAGACGTGGTGAAGGTAAATGTTTTACAAATAAAAGAGAATCAAATGAAATTATCCATGGTTTTGGAGAAGTGTTCTCATGAGGAGTTGGAAAAATTTTATTTGAACAATTGGAATGTTATCTTTGCGAAAAATATGAACAAAAACGAATCAGTTATGATAAATAAATTTATCAACATTTTCACTTCAATAGTTTTCATCTTTTTAAACTAGATTTTTGGTTTAGAAATGAAGTTAACATATTCAGTGCTGTTTTTTTTCAAAAATAAAGAAAGTAAAGAGATGAATCAAAAATCTATTTACCCCAAAGTTAAAAGTTTTGTAATGTATTAAAATAAACTGCGCTGCTATCCAACAGGCTTCATTTCACGCACAAAAAAAGCTGATTCTGTCAATGTAATACTCGAAAACAATCTGAAGAGGAATCCGTTTAGCGCTTTATTTCATTCAAAACTACTAGAGTTACAATGCAGATGAACACAATAATAACTTTTTCTTTTGACCCATGGTATTTGCTCTCTTATTAACTTTGCAAAAAACTTTCGTTTCTTAAAATAAACATCGTTTCGAAATGAACGCAAAATAATGACAACGACAAAACAAAACGTTTAAATAATGAATAATAATTTCATCTTTTCTCGTTTCTATCTTATTATGCCTTATATATTCAGGCATAATGAGAAAGAAAGGTCATCTGGACGATCATTGCTGTTGGCCAAGAGAACAGGTCGGTTATATCTATATGATTAAATAGTCTATTTTTTTTCCAATTAGTGTATACCTGTCACCATACAGCTTACACAAAAGTAAATTCTCCTGTGCTGATTCTTTTAGCCATAAACACAAATAGACTCATTATAGCTAGACAAATACAACTGCAACGAATTCATTAAAGAGTTTCGATTGCGCAGGTTTTGAACGAACTCGGTTTACACTACTTGTGAAATATTATATGTAATCAACGAAAAGTAAATTCGTATATAAGAAAATTATAATTTTCTATGGAAAAAAGCTAATTAAAATAGAAATTAATCAACGGACAGTAAATCATGTAAACCATTCGTAGAATAATGTAAAGCGCTCCTAGATAATTAATTAGCACAGTTAATGTGTTCTTTGATGTGTTATATATAAGAGTTAATAAAAAGTAATCTATTGGAAAAACGGAATAAAATGGATAAGAAAAGATAGATTTTATATATTGTCTCTCTTATACAAACATCACAGAGGAGCGCTTTACATTATTCTACGAATGATACGAATGATCATAATGATTCGTTCAGAGTTTTGACGGCTTCAATAACACAGAGATGAAAGAACTCTTGAAATACAGTCGATATTTTCAAAAACAATAAAGAAAGATGAAAAGCTACTATGAGATCGAAATGTGAAGTATGCATCGATACGTCCGATCTTTATTATACGTCAGTTGCTACAAATCGTATAAAAATCAAGCATAGTGCGTACGAAAACGACTTAAGCGCTCAGTCTAGAGCACTTACAGTACCCCGCAAAAGTAACGGGCCCCATTGTGGCTGCTCACGTAGGCCCTTCTCTACGAGCTTGCACAAAGTAATGATGTTCCCAGCACAACACATTATTATTATTATATCACAATAAAAATAGGAACTCATTTTACAATGTCAAAATATGCACAATAATATGAATAATAGTTTTAGTCTTCTTTGTTTTTATAATACGAATGGTGATGTTGTTGCACCTCCTTCTTGTGTACGGTGATGTTGAATGAATCAAATTGAAGTCGATGTTTTCGATAGGAGGAGGAGTAAAAGAAATTCGCAAACGAAATGAAAATGGACTAACTTAAATTAAGTTAAAGAAAGCCGATTCATACTAAATAATATAATGAATGAAAATAAATTTCTTCTTCTTTTATTTGAATGATAAAAGAAGAATAAAAAACTTGAGTGCAAAGAAAATCGAAAAACTCTACTTTTTGAAAAGTAAAGTGGAAAGAAAATAGGTTTCAACGTTTTGAGAAAAGTAACGAAAGTCATTTTTGTGAACGAGGTCCGATTTACGACTCGTTTTTCGTGTAGCACGCGGAAACGGAAATTAATTCTTTATGAGTTGATTTGCTAGAAGAACTCTCTCCATATCTCTTTTGTTGAAGTGAACCACTTTTAGCATACTCACTTCATCAACGAACGCTTCTACCTTCTATTTAGTAAACAAAGTTCACTACATCACGAATTTCCTTTCAACTGAATCAATAAAACTATAGCCATTGTCATTATTCCATAAATCAGATCATTTCATAAAGGAGCAGTGTTGCGATCATGGACTAAAGAGATAAGCTTTTATGGATTTCGTTTCCAAGAAAGTAACCGAAATCGTTATTTGATAGCTGAGGAAGGTCGTTCACGCCTACGAATACTATTTTACTATGGAACTTTCTCCAAGAATATATGTGAGTACATTATATGTATAGAACATTTTCATGGAGTCGCTCGCATATTTACATAGACTTTGATCACATAAGCTGTAATATTTTGGAGCAAAAGACGGATGATTAGGATAAATAGTAGAGATAATTCTTTTCTTCTTATCTAACTACACGATTTAGGACGTTGTTATAGATATTTTGGTTGTTTTATTGTGAGATTAAAAAATTGAAAATCTTAGCCACGGCCCAGCAGTCTGAAAATCTTGGTTACGCCATTGATGGACGATGATGTGAAATTAAAATGGTTAAACTAATTATTGATTCTGATTCTATTTCGAATAATTTTAACTTCCTATCATCTATCTTAATTCATACATTTTTAACAGTAAAAGATGATGGTAGACAAATATTCTTTCATAAATATCGTCTATACAGTAAAAGCAACTAATCATTCATTATGGAGAAAATTGTATCCCTGGTTTGTGTTAAATGTACAATGTTATGACGAACACAACAGTCTTAGTTCATATTATCCGAATGCATTATTGTTACCTAGAACACAAATATCAATAAACGAGCTGTGATTAACTGTTCATGGAATAAATCGATATCCACATATTATCGAAGACCAATATTGTTCGCTTAATAATTTGAAAGTAATGATTAAATCGTATACTTTTGACTCAAAAACAAAAATACATTATTTCATATTGTTCAATACATGCATACATCAATTTTAAAATTGGTTTTTTGGTGCATCTGCGAAAATAATTGTATCTCTCGAATCATTTGTTATCAATTTTCCATTCAGTGTTCCACACGCTGTTCCATTCAGTAGCTTCACTGAACTAAGGGTTTCAACTCCACTCATTAGCTCTCTTATGACCTCCGTTCCGCGTTATCTCGACATCAGGACTTCAGTAAGTTATGGGACTGCAGTATCCGGCGTCTACTACACTGTGCAGCTTTTGACCCATAGATCCACAAGTACAAACCACTCAGTCATCGTGTTTACATCTAACTGTCCTGCGTGCCTTGTTTATGTCTCGAAATCCGAACCGAATCCAACAAATGTCAATACGGCTCAAATCGACTCTGTTAAGTTTTTCTACCCCTCTGGATACGGCATGTTTTATATTCGCGTGCCTAAAAGTACGAAGGGAGTTTTTTTAAGCTTAAAGCGAAATGAATAAGCTTCTGTTACAGGTGCCTTCGATGTGTTCTCTTTGCCAACAATGCTGCAGAACGCGATGAAAAATGATTTAACACCAGGTCTGGTAGAATCGATCGGTTGAGCGTGTCACGATTGATAGACAGTTGCTTAATTTTAATTAAATGCCTTTCTGTATAAATGTGTGTATTTTGATGATTTTTATATAGATATATTAAATGAAGAATAAAAAAGATGAATATGTATACAGTTAAAATAACGCAAAATGATATTAATAGAAAATAAAACACCAAATAAAAATATTATATATATCAAATATAATGCAGTCCGACGTTTTTTTGAATGACTTTTGAAAGAAAGGCGATAGCGACATGCGATTTTCATATTCTGAAACTAGACACTTTGGGACGTAAACCTATAAGACAAGCTCCCGACCCGATTTACTGTCGTATACAAAAATGTAACGAGTTGTAATAGAGTTTTACTACATTGACAGCTTCCAAAAAACTACGTATTGAACGTGAGCTACGTCGAAAGATTGTCAACATGGATCCTTCAATGATACTTCAAGGTTCCAAATCCTCACCTTCAAATGCTTCGTCTACAGTACAAAACAAATTTGATTAAAAATGAATTTATATTTCCACACATGAGACTACCCAAGCAACATCACCTATGGGAAAATCGAGATACATTTCGTCTATAAACGGGCGATGCACGATTAGGGGTGTGACAGTTCAAGCTCGTGAACTGTGAGTAAATGTAGTAAAGAGCTGGTGACCATCTCCAGTTCGTACTCATGTGAGCTGTTGATCAGCTCCAGC